TTTCTGTTATCAACTGTAGCCGCTCAGAAGAAGCAGTGTCCACTTAGTTATGATTAGGATGTCGTTTTCGGTGAGGGAATGGCCCATCTTTTCTGTGGGAAAGGGCAAAAATCTCCATGTCTTTTCTCACAATCGTTTCCTCACACCTTTCAGCACAAGACGCTTCTTAGAAGAAAATTGAAGAAATGGCGTGGAAACAGTAAAGTTGCGCAAATAATGCTACAAAAATAGAGCTACCGTATTCGACGAACTACTTGCTTCAAAATTCCCCACTATAATGGAACAACGCCTTGTTCTGTTGAAACAGGGGATACCGTCGAAATCTGCGGAATAGCGGTGCCAGTTAAGACCCTGCTCTCTCTAAAGCCAAAATCTAACTGCGACCCCTTCCCAAATCCTTTCATAAACTTACCACTTTAACCCCAAAGCACTCGCGCTTCAGTCCGCGATCCGCATTTTTCCAGAAATTTGCTGTCGAGCGGGTAGGGGTAGGAGCTGTATAGCACGCCTGAAACGCAAAAATCAGCAATCAAGGTACATCAAGTTACTCTCATCTTCCAATAGGTCTCCCCCCCCTTCCTAGCGGTCCCAAATAGTACGACCCGTCTTAATATGATACCTGCACAACTACGATGTACGCTGAATTTAAATAAAAACGTACCTGATTTAATACCTGGTTATCCTCATGCCCAGTGGAAGTTGACTCAGTGCAGAGGACTGGAACGTCTTTTTCTTCCATGTCTTCAATGGCACTCTTAAAAAAGACAAATATCGGCGTGCCAGTTGAGGGGGGGGAGGGACTCGGAAGGGCCTTCGTGCCCCTAAGCAACGCTAAGGCCTAGGAGAATCTATGTTCTCTCTACAAAACCATCCTCTGATTATGGTTGTCTGCGCTCTAAGGCAAAGCCTCGGTTACGGGAACGGACACAGAGGCGCAGAGTCATCCCTAACCCCCCCCCCACTCCAAAGCTGCCCATATTTCCACGCAATGGCTTTACTATTGCAGTTAAATGGTAACTATACAGTAGGGTTCGCCTCGGATGCAGGGGGCCGGGTGGGGCGCTGAGCAAGATTGTTCTTCACCATATGTTGGAGACAAACAACTACAGCCGATAAAAGCGGACTGGCGCTGCGCCGAACCCAGATCACTTGGCACGCATATCATCCGCAGTAAACAAGACCATAACCAAGTGACACTAACGTAAAATAATCCAGTTAACGAGATGAAGTTTACGAAAGAGATTCGCCCGCACGAAGCTGGCTCCCTTATTCGAACCACAGGTAAATATCTCAGTGGGAATTTATTAGTGCTGGAGTTGCCACGGTAAGAAAAGCTCAAGACATCCTACTCCCACGCAATCTGCACTTACGCAAGCGGTGGTGAAAAATGTTGTTGTTTGTAGCAGTAGGTGTTTGTACAAGCAACGAGGAAAGGTAGTCACGCAGCGTAGCTACAGAATTGCAAGAATGAATGTATACGGGACTCAGCGCGGGAGGTCATAGGGACACTCACAGGGACATCCCAGGAGAAACCGAGAAGACATGATGCACCTCGCATTTCCCATTCTAGACAAAATCGCTGCCATAAAGATACGCATTGCACAAACGGTTCTGGCGAACGGCGTTGCCAATGCGTCGCATGTCTCTTACGAGAGATGGAGATTGTGCCACATCGGAGGGACCGTATACCAACTTCAGTATTTGATCTGTGATGAACTTTATGGAGAGCTTGGCAGGATGTTGCGTATAGGCGTCAAAGAATATCTATCAGTCAAAGGCGAAAGTGTCTCCTGAGTCAACTGGGGGACCACCGCTTAAATTAATTTGAAGGCAGGGATTTCAATGTGAAATGTAATATTCTTGCCTAAGAAGGATTATCAGGTAGAATGGAGTGAAGCATTTCAGAGCTGTGCCAGAACTCTCAGGCTGAACAAGCGAAGTGGGTGCTTTACCTACGAAAAATATCCTGCCTTTCATTCCCAGGTGCGATCTGGGAAATCACCATCTATTACACGTATGACGTCTAGGGTGCTGGTGGTTCACTTTTTTCCTCTTGTTCAGGGCGGTGAGTAGGAGTTTCAAGCAAGTGAAACGCGGGAGGTATCTATCTTTGCTGAGAAATCATTTATTCGGTCCTTTTGGGATATGCTATAGCTAGCCTTATAGGATGAGGCGCTTGATCGGGTATGTTACAATTAGGACTAGTCACTTTCAGGCCCTGGAGACGACATAACAAACCTGGTCGGGGTAACGAGCTAGAAACTGATCCAGTCTTCTCCGAGACCCTACAGGTACGCTCAACGCATCGTCCCTAAATAGTCGATGAAATGCAGCCAGCTTGTAAGCTGTCAATACCACATCGTCAGCCTAAAATGGCATAATCAGTGTAGATCAACGAGGGTAAAAGATATTGAGCCTACACCAATGGCACATCGATAATTTTCGAAACGATCAGCGGGTAATTTTTTCATACATACCCGTACAGTGAAAGAGCGTTGTAGCCACAAGCAACCATCATATGTGGCAGTCACTGCCTCGCTGATATAAGATGCCTACAATTAAAATGCATTTTAACTGAAGCAATTCTCAGGAATGCGGCGCTGTTCAGCTACGGAGGGGAGAGGAGACATTTCGCATCGCTGGTTCCACTGTGAGTTCATCCTTTACAAGGTTGACAAGTGGGCTCTTCAAAAGTCTTGGTTGGTGTCAGTGCTGCCTCAAGATTCACTATCTTACAATATGCTGACCCGATTGCGAGCTTGCGAAAGCACAAAATGCCCCACTCCTCTCCCCCCCCCAGCCGAACTGCGCCGAAATGTAACCACCTTACCGCTTCGCTGAAATGTTCTCTACATATGCGTTTTTGAAAGCGTATGCATTCATCATACATCTTTTGCAAACCCTGGATCTCTATTCTTCCTTTCTCTAGCATTCCACACAACATTATAGCAAGAGTCTCCTTCGATTTAGTACGACGAAGATCGCTTTCCTGGCGTTTCACGCCACAAAAACGACACACTTTCATTTTCTCTGCAAAGAAACTATTTTCAGCAACGACATAGCATCATTCCTGAACTCTCGAGCACCAGAAGAGACGGATAAGACAGTCGTAGTTTGTCGCGTTGTCGCGGGCGTGGGGCTCCTGCCGTGGCTCGCGGCGAAGTTCGCGGCTTGTGTGTCAGGAGTCGATTGGAGCAGCGAAACTCTTGGACTCCAACCAAAGACAAGACTCCATAACAAGCGATATCGAACTTTCTCGTCTCTTCCACGCATAAATTCAAATGGCTAAGCAGTATAACTCGACTGTCGGGCGCATCTCGCCACGCCCACCAACGCGGCATATTACTATTATCATGTCACATACCCATATCATATGCCATAATCACTGGCTCGGTATACTTTGTGATGAGCTTACACAATCTACCACATTGAATATTGGGAAGCCTTCAAAAACTTTATTATAACCGAAGATTGTATGCAATTTATATGAAATGGTGGCAGCACAGCATTTTGGCAATGTCGAAAAAAAGAAACTAACAAGTGTTTGCTTCACGTCATCTCTTGTACGAATAACCTCTCGTCTCAGAGAAAGAGAAGGCCCATCAGTTTCAGCGACCTAGAGTGTTGTTTGCAGCGTATTGGAGCGCTGTTGCAATGGCGGCGCGCTACACGCGTTACCAGCACGTTACGCGCGTCATCGCGGAGTCTGAACGCTCCCGTGTGATCCCAAAGAGAACGAATGAAGTGGTTCTTTGGGCAGCGCTGAAGTCCAGTCGAAAAAACGACCAGCGACCAACTGATGCTACCGAACATAGGCTTGACGTAGGTTTCCTAATCATTGTCTGCCTCATCACATAAATTAGAAACTTATATCCATATGCAACATTCATAACAGGATTACCATAGGAACCGCGAAATTACACGACCCTTTCGACCCTGACACGTGGCCTATCCCTTTGTGGGAGCTCTCGTCCTCTTGAAGAAGACGTTCTCCTCTTGAGCTGCTCTGCACGGCCCGTCTCTCTTCTGGTACTATGACGATCTATACATCACATATGTATAGCACCCCATCACTTCTAGGATCATCCGTGGCACCCACATTTTTTTATTTTCCTATTGTCATTCCCTTTTGATCTATACCCTGAGCAACCCACCAGATTACGATGAGCGCTTCGCCTAGTTTCTCCAGTAGCAATGTCTAAATGCAACAACCCAGGAGGCTATTCGAACAACCTCGACCCACTATGCCAACCTGTGACTGAGCTGTTCTGACTCTGAACGATACTGAAAACACCTACTGTATAATTACCTCTATAAACCCGTCAATGTAACAAAAACAGAAATCTTCTGGGAAAAACATTCAAAAAACCACAGTTGGCCGTCGTCCATGAACGACCGAGAGAGAGTGTGTTGCCGAAGAAATTATACTACATATTTCAACTAACATTCGCCTTCAAAACATGATCAATAACTGAAAACCAAGCGTGTGGTCGCGAGCGGCCACATTGAGCAGGAGAGCGGAGCATACCGCTTGTTGCGGCCTGTTTATCTCGTGCATCACCGCATCGTTGTATCTTCGTGAATCTACTCCAAATTCAGCGTGCTGTTGTAAATCTGGGAATTTCGAACGTTTCTTCTTTCAGGCTTTTCACATCAGCCTCGAGGTCGGACACCTGAAAACTTCGGTACTCAACCATTCCTACCAAAACTTCTATTGCACATTTGACTCGGGCAAAAAAAAACCATAGCTTGAGACCACCGCTTCTTTCAAGTATTACGCCAAGGCGAGCAGTCGAATTCCGACTTGGGCATAATTTTGGGCTCCAAAGTTTCATTACCTGACCATCTCATCATCAAGAGCAGTGAAGGTCCAAATGATCCTCTTGGTCGTGGCAGTCCTCCTTGGTGCTAAAAAGATGATCCATCATTCAGAAGCATTCGACGATAGATCGAATAATTATCTGGAGGGGGATCCCTTGTGCTTATAAAGTGAAAAGTGTGCCCGACCACAGAACTGCACCCCTTTTCGCCGCTGCGGAAAGTTGGGACGGAGTCGGCAAGAAAGTTGATCTTTCTGCATTGCCTAACGGTACTGTTGCATGCCCAACACTCGATAAGTCACACGCTCACGTCGCTGCTGGGGAAGACGGACAACCCATTCTCAATTTGCCCCACCTTCACGCACCGTGCGCCAGTGCGCGGTAAATACTCGCACATCAGTTTTCGACGGGAGCATCAAAACTTATGTGCATTCAAACGAAGGCAAGAATTGATGCCGCGTGATATCAATCTTTCCCGTCACTTTACATTCAGTTCAGACGGTCAGGCATGACAACTTGTCTCCGTGTGCAGCATCCCTTGCCACGCCCGGCGCCGCCTATTATGACTGTCCCGCCATTTACTTGCTGCTCTTCGCCTTCCACTGAGGCAGTAGCTCTTTTAGTGCACGGTAAGGACCTCGTCGCCCATGTAATCGCATACGTCTTTAAGGGAATCATGTGTCTTCAGGAGGCGAAAAACAAAAAAAGTATGAAGAGTGCGGTTACTGAGCGGCTACTTTGCGAGATAATGCGTACCAGTCGTGCTCGCTGCGGAGGAAGGCGTGTCAGGCGGGATGTTTTCAGTGCGTTGCCAAATCCATCTTCATCACTTGCTGAAGCAGGTAAGCGACAACAGTTGGTGGAAATTGACTGGTACGAACACGCGATAGAGTTTTGTCGCGATCTTCGCTTGTACAAAAAACTGCGTGAAAATAGGTTTGGCGAGCCCGCGCCCACTCATCGCGCCTAAACGCCCCTTCATCCGCAGAAAATAGCGCTTCTTTTAATCGGGAACGCGGCAACAGTCGATTACGTGTCGTACGTAAAGGGGTTATGTGTCGGAACAGAATGGATTCTTGTAGAAAACTGCCATTTCCCAAAAACGAACCTCAACAGCTCACTCGGATAACATTTGATATCATACGACGCGACCTCCTCTGGTTGTTCCCGAGAGATCTGAAAATGATCTTTGGTGGATGGCGCAAGCCTGCAGTAATGGCACTTTGTAACATACCAAAAAGCGCAGCGAATCCATGTTATTGTAGTTTCGGCAATTTGTTCACAGTTGTCAGGTGACATCCCTGACGGAGGAGAGCAGGTTTCCTCCAGCCCTTCGAATCGTTTCTCAAAGGGAACACATTTGCCACCGAGCCCCCCGACTTTGCGTCCCCGCCGCCGTGCAGGTGTAGTGTACTATAGGATTCGTTCCACTGGCTGTCAGAGTAACGAACTGCGCCGTGTCGAACATATTAGATCCACATGACGGACAGAAGCGGAAGAGTTTCAGTAGCTGTCTTCCTTTTATCAGAAATTCCTTGTCGAGTAGCATGGGGTCCGTTCCATCCAACTGCAGAATGCTCTCAGGATCCACAGCTGGAATCAGACTGCGCCGTGACCTGCAACTTTCTCTACATTGGGAGAGGCAAGCTACAATCGTCAGATATGTTCTTCTACTCAAGCAATTGGTTATTTGAGTGCGTACCTGGTTTGCAGTATCTTCGTTGGAAGTAGACTCGGGGCAATATGGATATGCGCTCGTTTCCTCTAAGTTGAAACACATGTCATCACTGTCACTCTTAAAAAATAAATGTCGGATAGAATAGTTGAAAGTGCCCCAAGTATGGTCCGAACATTGGACGAGCATTTGAGGAGGCGAGACACTGCCGTGCGGGTGAGAGACCAAAGAAACAGACGAAAGAGCAGCAAGATAAGAGAGACGACATACATGGCCTTAGTTATGATAGGGTCTTCAGGAGAAACACAACACGTCCACACGACGCCCCTCTTCCCTCACTGAGCTTGTGAAAGTGGGACAGTTTTACAATGTGGATCGGACTACTAATACAGGGTACTGACGAACCTGGAACAGAACCTTCCTTTCCTGGAGTCCAACAGCATCCTTGTTCCAGCTTTCACGGTGGAATTTAGCCAAATGATTTATTGTGAGCTCAAAATCTGGCTAAACAAAATTATTATGATGAAAGGCTTTTTCTGTAAAACTTAGGATAACCTTTCCAAACGCCTTATTTATTTATTTATTTATCATGCACGCATAGGTGCGCTAAGCATACAAGCGATAGGCTTAGAGTAATAGAACAACCAAAAATACGATTACCATAAAAAAATTTCGGTAACACAAAGCAACCGAGGAAAGACTTCACTAAACTACTGGATTCAGGAATCCTGAATGCTTAGCAAGGTCATCAGATCGACCTTCTTTAGTCTCTTTCTGAACGTGTAGGTGTTAGGCGCCTCCAGCAGGTCTGATGGAAGTAATTGGAGATACCTTGCTCCACGGAAAAACAGTGAGTTGAAAACTCTGGTTCGGTGGCCATTGCACAGTTTAGGACATTGTAAGGACAACGAGGAGGTGCGACCATTTGTCGGTCTGAACACCCAGTATTTACTGGGTTTCAACCTAAGCTCTCCTTTCAGTATCTTGAAACAAAACATAATATCATTGAACACCCTTCTATACATCAGTGATTTGAGGTTGAAAATGTGTAGGCGCTCCTGATAGCTAGGCATACTATGCGGATACTCAGGATCGGGAAAACAACGATACATCAAAACTCTCGTAAAAGTTTGCTGCACCTTTTCGATTTTCACCTGGAGCTTCTTAGTATGAGGGCTCCATATTTGCGAACCGTATTCGAGAATGGGTATGACGTATGCTTTATAAAGCTTCAGTAAAACTGAAGAGTCGTTTTCTCGGATATTTCTCAGGATTGCAAAGAGGGTCACGAGAGCTTTGCGAACAATAGTATCTATGTGATGCGAGAAATCCAAAGTGGAATTTACGAGCATCCCAAGATCGCGAACTTCTCTCGAAACACTTATGGGGATGCCGTCGACGGTGTACGGTACAACTATTGCTTTTCCTATGTGAAGTACAGAAGTTTTCATAAAATTGACTGGTATACCCCAAGCAGTAGCCCACCCCATCATGTTACATATAGATTGGGTTAACGCTCGGTGAACGCAGTCATGGTTATAATTGTCATAGACACCATATATTTTGATGTCATCGGCGTACATTTTAACGCTGACCAATGGGTGAGTGTTTAGGCAGGCTGGAAGGTCGTAGGTGTACATCAGAAACAGCAAAGGAGACAAGACACCACCCTGTGGAACTCCACTAGTGCAGGGGAAACTCTGTGAAAAAGTATCACCCACTTTGACAAACATGTGTCTATTCTTCAGATAACAGCTGATCCAGCTAAGGATGGGGCCTTCGATACCCAATTGCCACAACTTGTATTGGAGCTTTTCATGATTTACTTTATCGAACGCTTTGGACAAGTCGAAATAAATAACGTCCACACCCTTCCCCTTGTTAATAGCTAAATTCCAATCAAACAGACAGTCTGCCATAAGGGTACCTGTGGAAGCACCACTAATAAACCCATGTTGCTCTGCGGGAACCAGATTGTTCTTGATCAAATGGGATACAATTTTGTCACGCAAAATCTTCTCTAGAGCTTTAGCGGGGGGTGCCGTTATACTTATAGGACGGAACGAAGAGACATGCTTAGGCTCAGGTACCTTAGGGATGGCAGTCACAATAGATTCTTTCCAGCTCATCGGGATCTCACAGAACATGAGAGATACATTGAGTATCATACAAATAGGTTTGCATAAGGAAAGGGCACAATTTTTATAAACAGTTGTGGAATACATCGAAAGGAACGAAGGTTGAGCACTTAAGCCCTTTATCTTTTTGTGATAGATGTCTACTTCCTTCGGTATTACTGACTTTGTGTTCGGAAATTTAGTGCCATCCCGATGAAATCGCTAAGTGATCTGAATTGCATCTGCCAGACAATTCGTCTCGGCCAGTATTCCCTGGCCTGAAGAGCATTTCCGTTACCTCTTAATTATGTATACAAGCCTCGGGAGTACATGAGTCACGGCCGGGGAAGGCGGGGGGGGCATGCAGCTATGTTATCCAGACTCTGTTGCATGCCGCGTCGATTTGTGACCCTCTGCCACAGCGCAGTCCTACTTCCGCGATCGCACCATCGGCAAGTCTGAACACGGCTTCCGCGACCCTGAACCCTGGCCAAGAGAAGAGACTTCGAAACGCCCCCAGATAACCTCTCACTCCTCCCCCAGCTAACTAGCTCAGAGCCACAAAGGTTTGCCCTGGTTCTTAAGTGCCTATAAAGGATGCTCTGCACTCATATAGCCCACCTTATTGGAAAGTGCCTGACTTTGACCGCTTCAACAGTGATAGAATAAGAAAATACCATCCTGTCCAGAACAGTGATAAACAAAATGAGCGGTAGGTGCGTGAGGGGAATCACTCGGCCGCGCCTTTGTATCATTTCCCCAAAAAACTTAGGCATACAGCGCACACGACGACCAGGTGTCACTGGAGGGGACAGTCCCGCTAGCAGGTCATAGTCTCCGTCAAAGCTGAGCTTAATCAGGGAAGTGAGGAGGTGGATGGAGCGACCTCTTCTCCACCCTGCCCCAAACTACACGTGGCCGCCACAAAATGAAAATAAACGTTGGTAATACTATTATACAAATTGTACTCACATCAAGAGCACGTCGGTGCACTTCGAAACGAGTAACGATTTCTTCCATAACATGATCCTCCACGTTGAAGACCTTTTCAATAGGAATTTCGCATATCCTGGCCACTTCATTACTGATATAAGCTGCCTGTTATTGAAATTTCTCTTCCCGAAATCTTTAGATCAATCATGGTGCCTCACCGCTTCGTCATAATGTCTTTTACATATTGGTACTTGTCTCCTTGGACGTCTACATTCGCTGTACAGCTCTTGCGCATATGGTAACCCTACAATGCCCTTCTCCAACATTGCACACAACATTATCAACGTTTCCTTGGCTCGAGGGTAGCGAAAATAGATTTCCTTGCCACGACAACCACGGAGACGGCATGTTTTTCTCTTTTTCTGAGCAAAGTACACCATTCCTGCAAATAAGGTAGAGGAATGTCATATGCAAACATGGCTGTAGTTTTGAACCTCGAGTTGGGGATCGGGTGCAGACCAACTAGTCTAACTAGCTGACTTGGCATAGTATCTAAAACCAATGATGTCGTGGCAGCCCACGTCCAATGCCGGATACAGTCTCGTTCTCTGCAGACTACAGGGCGTTTCCACGTTCACGTTGTGAGCGGTCCGACGGCTGCGAATCGGTGGCATGGCGGAGGTCTATGGCGACCGTCACCTCTGTCCCAGCGCGCTCCGATATCGATTCCGCGCGGAACTCACGCCAGCGCGCTACCTACATATCTCTTGCGTCTAGACTCTAGCCGCTGGCGTAGCGACACAATGGCTGGTGCTCTCAATTAGCTAATTTCTGCTGTATTCCGCTTCTAAACGATGATCATTCTTCCCCCGGCCTTAATAAGATAGGGTTAGCTTGTTTACTGGAACTAGACTTTTCCATGTTCCAGTCATTAGCATTGAAAATAATGGGGACAAACAAGAAAAAAAAATCGGAAAAAATGTTTAAAGAATGTGAACAGCTAACTTCCGAAGATAAAACCATGCTTATGTGAAAAATCCATTTTCAGTGAAACATACTAGCTCTTTTTACTGAGGCCAGAAGAAGAATAATTACGGCTTTCAGCAGCTGAATACAGCTGATATCAGCTGATTGAATGTCTCGCGACACCGGCGGTGAGATTCCAGATGGAAGAGTGAGGCAGCGTTCAGACTTCGCGACGGCAGCTCGTCGGCCGTTCGGCGCGATGCGATGTGCATGCTTTCTACTGCATCGATCGCATCGAAAGCGCAATCCAAGCGCTACCATCGCGTCTGAACGCTGCCTGGGTAAGTAGCGCCGACGTGTGTATCAGCGCAGATGGCGCTGAGGCAAACAT